TAGATAGCTTGTTTTGTTAATTAATTAATGTTTTGGTCGGAATAAATGCATTTAAATACTATATATGGGGGGTTGGTGGCCCACTCGCTTGTGAAATACGTTAGTTAACTAGTTAATGACGTTGGATTAGACCTGTCGAGTGCCCAGAAACACAAAAAAAAAAACAAGCAAAAATTGCACAAAACCCCTTGAGGAATCAGAGTATTGTATCTATCATACTCCTATCTCGCCTTATACTCTGTCCTCGTGCATTGCATTCTCCGTGCTTTTGATAGATCTCCGGCGGATCGCTCTTTGTTGTTATCGCTAGTTATGCCTAAATAGAGTCCAGACCCCCGCATCCCCATACACACAAAGAAGTCATGGTATCAGCACTCTTTCCGGAACCACGATATAGTATAGAGTAGATATAGAAGTAAGCTCCAAATTAGCCAAAGAGAAAGAATGCAATGGTATATTATTATATGTTCAGCATAGAATCCCATCGAAACTTTTGGCGCCCAATCTCTCAGGCATCAACTAATTCCCCCCGGCTTCAGTCGTGATGATTCGATTCATCGCTTCACCATTTGTCGGTCTGCCAGCGTGCTTTTTCGCTTCTTTTCTTTTTCTTTTCTCATTATTTTCCTTTTCTTTTGCTCCCTTTGTTCTCTTTGTTCTCCCGAGACCGAATCCCTCCCACTGCCCGACTGCATCTCTGATCGGAGATGCAATGTGATCGTTCCTGGCCCGCAACCTGTCCCTTTGGCGTCTGTACTTCACCCCTCCTGGACCACCCTCCATCGTCTTGCTGAAACTCGACCCTCTCCTCCTTTTTCCTTAGCGGTTGATTCGCCAAATATAATGACCTCTAAGCTTTGACTGTCATTCATTCCCCTGTCAACTTACTGCCTGCGACCCCCCCGGATCAAGACTACTCCATCACCGCCTGGTGTCTCCTCCCCCTCATTCCCTTGCTGTTGGCTGTATCAGTGCTCGTCAGCCTCACCCCCCCTAAGATTCGTCCGAAATTCGTCAATCGTCCCTCGAACATTCCTTTACATCGCTCAGCATGGTGGCAGAAGACGTCCTTGATAACTGCCTGCGTCTCCTTCAGAATGTCGCTCTCGATGAAGAGGAGCAGGCGGAGAAGGTGGAGGATTTTCTGCGCGAAAAGACATCTTTGACGGGCCCTTCGTTGGAGAATGCGGTGCTTGATATCCTCTGGCGCCATCGAAATCGTTCCGTACCGGATTCCTCTCCTCCTCCGCGACACACCATCATCCGCCGATCGTCGCCTGCGCCATGGCAGATGGCTCGTTCGTCCACTCCCCTATCGCCCGCATCCAACCTGGGAACAAGCCCCGGAAGTACATCCTGGCTACACAGTTCCCGTGGGAACTTTTCCCGGGCTCCTCTATCCGCGACCGTCTCGCCGTTTTCCTCCCCGCGTCCGTCCCCCAGACTTGCCCTGGCTCAGCCGATCCCCCATTCCCCGAACCTGAACGCATACGAATTCTCCGATCAAACCCAAGCGTCGGACTATTTCTACGATCTTGGCAGTGACAGCAATGTGGATTGGCTGGTGGCCGATGATGCAAACAGTACTACTTCCTCCATTGGGGCCCTCAGTGCCACAGCTCCCGAATTTGTACCCGACATGAGCCCTCACGATATTCTCCGGACGGTGCTTGGCGACAAGAGATCTAACGACGACATCGAAACGGCATTGGAAGCAAACAGTTATGACCTGGGTGCGACGATTGCCTCGCTGACCCAGAATGACGGGGAATCATTTTCGAATCAGTCAGACGATGGTCGTATTGTGGTGGGGAAATCTATGGCGATGGAACAGCCCCAGTTAGTCACCTCTACGGTGCAGAACCAAAGTCCTGTAGTCTGCAAATACTGGCTGTCGACCGGGCAATGTCTTCGTGCTGATTGCCGGTTTAGTCATGATTTAACCTCCCACGTTTGCAAGTGAGTTACAATCTTCCCGTGGAAATGCAAAAAGAACAGCTTTTGTCTAATACAGTGAACCCTCCAGATACTGGGTAATGGGCAATTGCCTGGCCGGGGATGGATGTCCATTTTCGCATGACCCTTCAGCCCTCATTTCCAACATCAGTGTGCAAGACGAGAACCAGCAATTCAACGCTGGCTCATCATTTCCCGTTGACAGTGCTGTAGACGCTTTTCCTCCTTTACAGTCATCCGCGGGAATGGGTGACCCATGGGCGAATCAATACACGGGCAAATATCCAGCTCATCTTTCGGGAATGGTAGGTAGTAGAGCTGGTTCGCACCTACAAGTCCATGGTGGCAGGCGCAACGGAAGCATGGGCAATGTTTCTCGCCCTCACTCGCGCCCAACCAGTCGACAACAACATCGCGAGCTGAATCCGGGTGCTCCGTCAGTTGATGATCCCGATGCATTTCCGACTCTTGGTGCAGTGACTGCAAAGAACGCAGGGAAGAAATATGGGAAACGAAATGTCCGAGAGTACCAGTCTGGAAGAGAAAACCACCCGACCTCCCTCGCGGATGTTGTACGCATGTCCCCATCTCCCGCGCCTGGGAAGGGAAAACCTTCATCCAAAAATGGTCGAGATGGGTACAAGAGCCGCGAGAACAGTGCGGCTGCTCAGTCTATTCCAGCCCCGCAGAACATTCCCTGGTTGGAGACTGGTTCGCGAGCCAACCAGCAGTATATCAAGTATCGTACTGAGGCGATTCGTCATGGCACAGTGCGAAACAAGTTTCTTCAGAGGTATGTTCCTCCCCATTCCATTTCACCAATATAGACATACTAATGAAACCAGTGCGGCGCAAGCCTGGAATCGAAACGACGCTAGGGCTGCAAAAGCTCTGTCTCTTAGGGGCCAAGCAGAAAACGAAGCCATGCGGAAATGTCATCGTGAAGCAGCACGGCAATTGTACGAAGAACGCAACAAACATCTGCTCACGATGGGACTTGATGAAACTACCGAGGAACTCTACGTCGACCTGCATGGCCTTCACCCAGAGGAGGCTATCGAGTATCTAGAAAAGATTCTACTCAAGCATGCTCGTGAGGGCCGCCGTGTCTTGTATGCCATTACAGGTACCGGTCACCATTCAAAGAATGGAAAGGACAAGATTGGCAAGGCAGTCAAAACATGGCTCAACGAGTGGCGATACCTGTTCCGCGAGTTTAGTGTCCCTGGTGAACGAGGCGGGTACGTCGGTGGTATTCTGGGCATTGACCCTACCAGCTACGACAGGTCACTTGCCAAGAGCCTTGAAGAGGCGGCAAAGGACGACGATAATCGGAATCAGCCCACCATGTCTATTGGCAAGATTCAGCTTCTTAAACGCGAAGACCTGGAGCCGAAGGCCAACTAAGAGCTCCGCAGCTATATTGGCATGTTGCTACCGCTTATTTTACGACGATCTACGATTTTCCGACATGGCACTTTTTTGGCTGATCCCTTTGGTACTGTCAAGGGACATTGGTTTAAAGCCGTTTGCTAATTGGTGTTGTTATTTTGAGAGCCTAGCCCATCAATTTCGTGGATATGGGAGAGGACTTTGAAACAAGACTTGGGTCTCATACTATTCTCCTATCATTCGTCATTTCTAGCTCGAGTTTCTTTAGCGCCTGTCTTACCTTTACGTCTTGCTGATGCTCTGCAGTTTTGACTGATGTTGTAGAGTTGTATATAGCGAAGACGCATATATATATATATATATATATACGCACATGTACATGTGAATAGCTTGCTATAAGAATACATTTTGGTCTAGTTGGGCGTAGCTTTGAAGTACAATATAGCAACAACCTAGTATTTACTCCGGCTCCTGGTGCTGCCATTTCTCTCGCAACTCGTGGACATTAAACCCACAAGCCTCGGCCTTTTTCACAATCGCCCTTGCCTTCTCAGCCACCGGAACATCAATCATCTTCCCATCCAACGTCCAAGCTCCCCGACCAGAAGCAGCAGCCTTCTCATCCGCGATCTTCACACGTACCGCCCACACAACTTCACTATCTTCAGGTCCAAAAATCCGCTCCACAGTCTCCACCTGCGATGGGTGGATACACTGCTTCCCATTGAACCCCAAATACTTCCCACCGCGACATTCCTCCTCCAGTGCCGCAGGCGGCCGGCCGTCACCGGTTGTAGATTTGTACGCCGTGCAGACCAGGTCAATCGTGGAGGGGAGGTTCGCAGCACGCGCGGCAGTTGCAATCATAGAGCGCGCGAAGAGGAATTCAGTTAGGGTTGGTGTACGAGTCAAGCTCAGGTCGAGCGCGAAGTCTTCCGCGGCGAAGATCAGACCCTGAAGGAGCGGGGAGGCAGAGCAGATTTGGGTGAGGTTTGTGAGGGATTTGGCGGATTCGACGAGGGCGAGGAGGGAGATTGGGGGACGTTGTTGGCCTTGTTGGCCTTGTTGGCCTTGTTGTTGTTGCGAGAGAGTGTGTGAGATGACGTCCGTGACGAAGGTCAGGTCTGAGGCTGAGTTGACTTTGGGGAGGACGATGGTGGAGAGGTTTGGGGAATGGAGCTGTTCATTTTTTAGCCATTTTCCATAAGCCTTGCTGAAAGTGATAAATTGATTATACTTACCACCTCAGTCAAGTCCCCTAATGCCAACCCACTGTCAACAGAATTGATACGAACCGCCCGCTCGCGAATCCCCTCCGGCGCCGGTTGATCAAGAGCCCTCCGCACCAGCCCGCGAGCCTCGACCTTCTTGTGCGGAGTGACGCTGTCCTCGAGATCGTATGCAACACAGTCGGCTGACAGTGTACGCGATTTGTCTATGAAGCGCTGCGAGGATCCGGGGACTGTGTTGCGATGGTTAGTTTTGTTCCGCATAGAGTTTGGGGAAATGCGGGGAGAGCTTGACGTACTGTAGAGGAGGGAGCGGCGGAGGCCGTTTCTAGTTGCCATTGTGGTGATATGTGGTTTGGTTGGATTTTTCAAATTCGTGGATTTCTTAGAGTATCAGGTTGAGTCCTGAGATGTGCAGTATAAGAGTATGTGACATGAGGGGAGGAAAGATGATGTCTCCATCCTCGGCTGCGGCATCTTGGACGGATAACAGTTTAAACGGCGCGATATAGGTTCTCAACGGCGACGCGTATAACGCTTACTTTGCTGGTTCAAATTGCATTTCTCGCACTCTTTCTAAAAAATGTGGCAATAATATTGTACATCTTGCAATTCCAACATTGATTGATCTTGGTCTGGCATGAAATCTTGAAACGGCTATATGACTATTCTGCCATCTGTCACCGCCTGTCCACGTATAGAGGAGCCTGAAGACAAAAGTCACAAAACAGACACTCGCGATTATATCTCACTGAAAACACTACGGAGTGCCAATGCACCAATGGCCTTTGAATGCTATATTGATTGACAACTGACTCTGTACTCTGTATAAATCTAAGCAGTCCCTCCCGCTAAATGTTCGAAATCAAAAGATGTCCACGGTACGGTCAACGTGTATGAAAACGCGGGTTGAGTCTGGTCCCGATCTTTGAACCAATACTGAACATGAGTGATGTTTCTCAATAAATCCGGGTTATTCTTCTCTTGCCCCGCCACAAAGTTGTCGTCAATATATACGTTGTAGTTGTTTCCGGCATTTTCAACCTTGATCTTGGGAGTGGGCGAACGGAACCAGTCATTATTCAATGGGTAATTGTCTTAGTAGTTCCACTGGGATTGGGCCGGCTTGTTGTTGAGACGAACCACGCGATCCTTACGCCGCAGAGAGATACTTAGGAGCACCTCGTAGTTTTCTTCGTCATGGAGATCCACATCCGGGAACGGGACTCGTCGAGATAGATGAGATGCCGGTGCTGTCCTTGTTCACTTCGATGTCCGCTGGCACTTCCAGTTTAATGAACACAGAATTGACGGTGGTGGATCGGCCTGATGGCATTGGCTTCTTGAGCTTGATTGTTTTGTCGAGGGTAAGAGACAGTTCAATATGGGGACAGCCATGGGAGTTTTCACACACCTCTGGGTTGAATCCTGGGCATTATTCCCACCAGACGAAGTCGGCGGTGAAGCATTACTGGGGGTGTAAGCCCCGTATCCCAGAAACGGAATGACTTCCAATTTGACAAAGCCAGAAGGCTGTGGGGGGAGGGGGGGTCTTTGTGGTGCGTCGCGCTGCTCACTGAGACGATGATTGGAGGTCGAGACTTTGCTGTTGATAAGCAGGGACCTCCTTGTCATGCTGCAGGACTGTTAGCAAGAGAAACTGGGTGGAAGAGGTGCAAGACAACCCTTCACGACGCGCCAATACAATCTCTGAAAGTAAATTGCTGACTGTCTCTTCATCTAGTGACGACAATGACTTTCCTTTGGGGAGTTTGTTGAGCAGGGTATTGACGGGGACAGATGAAGACACCTTCAGATTCTGTCCCTGGAGCGTCGTGCAGTTGCTGCAGCTCGCGGACAGGATTATTATTATCTGAAATATTGTGGGTGACGGACCAGTTCTCAGTCTACTGGCGCCCAGCTTCCTCCTTGATCTCGGCTGTTAACCGCTACAGGCGACGTTGTATTTCTAGCGCGTATTTTGAGATAATCATATCAAAGCTTTTCGTTTCATGGTAGAGAATAATCCAAGCTATAACTAAAGCATGCATTGAGACTGAAACCGAGAGCGCCGCAGGGTAGCTATCTAGTGTTCCAATTGATGAAGAGATGGATCCATTGAAGTCTGAGATAGCGTTATATACAGCTCGACACAATAGTCAATATGTACCACGAGAAAGCGCAACCGAAGCTCCCCGTTATCACTTGACTTAGGGTCTTGCCGGCCAACCATTCCCACCACCCCGACTCGGCGTAGGCCAAGTAGCCGCGAGGTTGTCATGAATTAGGATCGGAATTAAGGAACGCCCCTCGCTCCACTTCCCAACCGAAACATCATGATCATGATCAAACACAGCAGGCCTCTTCCCCGCCAAATACAACTCAAGCCCGAATTCCGCAGCGCTGATCTGAAACCTCTGTGCTTTATCTCGCGACCCCGGAGCGTAGAACGCGTCATGGTCCTGCGGCCTCATATACCAGTCGCTCCCGTCCTCAACATCAGCGGCTTGTAGGAGGAAGTCGGTGTCGCTGGTGGCTTTGACGATGAAGCGGGTTAGGGCGACGTGGTTCCGGATGGTTAGGCGGCGGTCGCGGAGCATGACTCCGATTCAGCGGGCGTCTGTTAGGTAGATTGATTTGCCGTTGAGGGTTTGGGCGTTGATGGACTTTTTTTTTTTTTTTTTTTTTTGTAGGATTTTGCGGGTCTTTGTATATGAATCGAGCAGGGTTTTTGCGGTAGGTAGGGGAGGGAAACCAGCAATTTATATGACAATACCGCGACCTTTTCTCTCCTTGTGCTAAAGGGCTTAGGCGTAATCCCACCCTCATTCTGGCGGGGAGCCTACATCATGGGGAGTGAATAATTCAGCTGAGAGAGACCCAGGATCTTCGCATAGGGCTCTTTGGTAGTCATATGGGTGATGTAGGCGTGTTTTGAGCTCTGGTTGTCGCTTGAAATAGTTCAAGGCCCAGCACTTCCCAACACATCCCATGTTGTGATCTGTGAGCAGAAGATTCATGATATCTTCCACATCAGTCAATTTAGGCGAAAACCTTCGCAAATCCAGATCCAAAACATGTCAGAGCATAGCCTCCTCTTCCAGGTTTGTTAGTTTGGTTGAATTTGGCTGAAGATCCTGTTGAGCGCTTCTACTGTTCATTCTGGCGCGTAAGGTCATCTGAGACACATTATAGATCTGAGCAGCTTCTTGAATACTAAGTCCATCGCGTTTCTTGATAGACTGGATGGAAATAAGAGTCTACTTTCTTTGGAAACAGATTCCATTTGTTGTTGTTGTTGAGAAATCATGAGTTGAAGATGAGACGCGGTCGTGAGATGCCAAGTGCGCCGTTCGCTTATCTGCGCCGCTCGCTTATCAACTACGTTAGACAAATTCTAAAATCAGTTAGTATAATTCATATAAGAAATGGGCGAGCGCCGCCTTAGCGTCGCGGGGGGTGACAAGGGTGAGTGCGCTATAGTTAGGCAGGGTGAGAATCAGGCCAACAAGTTTATTAAGGCTAAACTGACCTGAAAAGGGTGCCACCTCCGAAAATGAAGTTCCTGCTTCGCTAAGGCTTCGATACGATAGCAAGTTCGCGAGTAAGAAGTCTAGGCGTTCTACAGAGTACTCGGTGTAGGTAAAAGGCCAGTCTAATTTGTTTTTTTATATAGTTCGCACACGAGAGAGAAATTTGCTAGTCATAACAGGCGTATAAATCCAGTACTTTGGAAGAACAAAATAGCTCACGTAAGACATATAATGTGTCCACGGGTACCTTAAAGGGTGTTTGCGAGTCTTCGTTGTTTTCTGAGATCTTTCAACATGACTCGCACCTCATCGACAGCCACCGGTGTACCTCTGTGCTGTGATTCGGGATCATCGCGATCGCGAATATTAACTGTCCGAGTCTTCTCTTCTGTGGGTCCGACAACTGTAAAAATAAGTATCGCATCGTGCAAATAATGGAAAAGGGGAATATGAATACCAAAGATGAAATTGTATTTCTCCTGTTGCCCACGTAGTATCTTCTTGTTGAGCGTATGATCTCGGAGATCCAGATCAACATGCATTTTCTCGCCCTGCAGAGTCCGCTCAAGTTCTTTTGCGTACTCATGTTGAGCCTTCGAAACTGGCACAACCAGTACTTGTCGCGGGCTTAGCCAGAATGGCCACTTTCCCGCGAAATGTTCGATAAGTATGCCTAGAAAGCGCTCGAAGCTTCCAAATATCGCGCGATGAATGACGACAGGTCGGGCGATGCCCTGTCCGACCTTGTCCGTAGTATACTTCATGTTGAAGTTGATCGGAGCTTGGTAATCGAGTTGAATTGTAGCACATTGTAGCTCGCGTTTCAATGCGTCAGCGATTGTGATGTCGATCTTGGGTCCGTAGAACGCCCCATCACCAGGGTTCACAGTCCAATCATCACCTTTAAATCGAGTGATTGCCTCGCGGAGCTGATCCTCGGCTTCATTCCAAGTCTCGATGTTGCCCAGGAATTTAGCAGGACGCGTAGAGAGTGCTAATTTGTATGTGAAACCAAAGAGTCCGTAAAGGCTGTTTAGGAGATCAAAGATTGCCTCAACCTCGGATACAATCTATTGCACATTATTAGTCAAACTCCCATATCAAGACGGTTCACAAGCTCTCGGGTTGTGTTACCTGGTCCGGTCGACAAATGATGTGTGCATCGTCCTGCTGGAACTTTCTGACTCGCGTTAAGCCGTGGAGGGCCCCGGAGGCCTCATTCCGATGCAAAACACCAAAGTCAGCATAGCGCAATGGTAATTCCCGGAAACTCCGGTCTCGGCTTGTAAATAAGAGGAAGTGACCCGGGCAGTTCATGGGTTTGAGCGCCCATTCTTTTTTCCCAAGGTTGAAGCGGAACATATCCTCTTTGTAATGTGCCCAGTGGCCGGAGGTTTTCCACAGAGAAGCGTCGTACATATTAGGTGTTTGTACCTCTTGGTACCCTCTTGTGTGATATTCAACTCGCAGCAACTTTTGCAGCGCGTTGAAGATCCGTACTCCATGTGGAAGTAAGAAGGGAGATCCGGGGGAGAGTTCGTGGGTTAAGAAAAGTTGTTGTTGCTTTCCCAATTTGACGTGGTCTTCGCTTTGTGCTTTAGCCAGAGTTTGTAGGTGTTGATCCATTAGACCCTTTTGTGGGAATGCGATACCCCGGACTCGTTGTAGAGAGTCTTCGTTTTGGTCGCCCAAAAAGTACGCAGAAGAGCCCTGTATCCATCGGTTATAAGCGAAGTTCCCTGAAAGGAGAAAGGGATCGCCTTACCTGTGTTGCTCTAAATGCCTTGATGAGAGATATGTCCGGAATGTGCGGGCCATATGCCAGGTCGACATGAGTCCCCAACCGATAAACGATGGCTGTTTGGTCTTCAGCCATCCTGTTGATCGCGTGTAGACGGTATTTGTTGCTCGCAAACATCCGTTGAAGAGTCTTTTTGGGGAGCTCTAATCGGTCGAATCCCCGTGGTTTCTGCAAGACCTGAATCATTCGTAGTGTAAGTAATTCACGGTCAGTCTCTGAGATGCCGCGACTGGGATAAATTAGCCAATAGTCCTGAAAGAAAACAAGGGTTCTAATGTATCATACCCATCCGGGATCGACATCTCACAGAAAAAGCCTTGGGTCGTGGTCATGGTGTCGGCGATGACACATTGAAACTCTTGCTCACAAAGCTCAGCTAGACAGCTGGCACACGAGCGCCATAATGCTTGCTGTCCCTCAGGCTGATCCCACCCTAAGAATGCAACGCTGCAGTCCTCCTGGAGGGGCCGTTTAAGATCCCAGTACTTTCTGCCATTGATTTTTGCGATGAGTGCAGTGTTGCGTAGCTCCTCTGGTACATATGCCATCAAGGACTTCGGAGTTGACAGCCAGGATGTGGCATCGACAACACGTTCAGACCTGCCGTCAATTTCGATAATAACCTTGATGCCCTCTCGGGGCTGGTTCTTCAAGTCAATTATACTTTGCTGCCATGATTCTTCGAACATATTGTTTCGCAAGAGAAGCCATTCCGGCAATGGAGGAGCTTCACGTTCCACAAACATCCACGGCATTCCATTTTCAACCACGAGCTGATGGGTGACCCGAACGTCTCTTGCGTGGGCTGTATGGTTCGCTCCTTGTCGGTCGACGGCAATGCAGCTCATCCATGGTGCCCGAGCTGTGAAGCCTGGAAGTTGAGGCACCAAGCAAATTGACAGCTTGGCAGTTCCATAGGACGGGTGAATGGAGAGGCGAACATGATGAGGCATTGCAGCCCGAATAAGTTTGCCAAAGCCTTCGGAGCGGCCCATCATTTTTAGAGCCAAGGTTGACATCTCATTAAGATAGTCCTTCTTGCTTGCAGCATTTTTTCGAATTGATGTGTTTGCGAGATCGATCTTGACAAAAGCTCTCATGCCATTGTAGGTGAGTCGTGAATCGATATCCTCATCCACAAGCTTTTGTGTGTCATTTTCAGACTGACAGAAGCCATTGATGATTAGATCGCGGGAGGAGTCTATGGTCTTATAGAAGATCTCTTCGGTGAGTTTAGTGCTTTTCGTTGTCGGATCGATCATGGCGAGAAATAGAATCTCCATCGCATGGACCACTTTCAGATTTTGATCAAAGCCGTTCTTTTGTACCATCTCTCTGACCGCTTGACCATAATTCCATACATCTTCGTCGCTAACCATAAGAAGATCTATGTTTTATGTAAGTATTTATCGAGAATCTGGGGTCTTTCTCTTTGTCTTCTCATACCGTTGAAAACCACACCATCCGCAGCGATGGTCACCTCGGCGCCAGGACTGTAGAACTCTCTGACATCCACACACATTTGGTTCAGTCGACATAACCCCAGGTATTCGGCGTAGTCAGGCAGTACACCGAGTACCTTGTCCATGTTGGTCTATCTCTATTCAGTATTGATTCTTACTTGGAAAGCTGTGTGCCACTTACTGACTTGAAAGGAAACGCGGGGAGGGCCATTCGAACTGGCTCCCCTAATTCCATCCAGTGTACAACATGGCCCTTGAAATTCTCCCGACCTGGCCAGTAGGAGTCGCAGCCTCCAGCGTCATCCTCGGCCTTCCAAAAGTACGTTTGTAAAACGTCGAGAATTCTTTCGAGGACGTCTTCGGGTTTGCTACAGATATCTTTAAATGGTCAACTCATGTCTAAAGACCGCATAAAAGAGAGGGGGGATGATCAGACCAATAGCTGGCTGAAGCCCGGCTTCAACTATGACTGCTGGCTTTTCACGCGCTTCATCTGTCACCTGGTTCTTTTCAAAAGAAACTGTTGGGCGAGATAAAGTAAGCAAGTGACGAGTGTAAACTGAAGTTGAAATCATTTTCTCTTGTGTGTTTTGTTGAGAAATTTTCCGCGGTCATTCAAGCAGACGCTGATTTTAAATGTGTTATGAGACGTAAGACTAGATTTCTGTCAGGGGTGGTAGCAATCTAGACCTTGCCATCATTTGCGGATCCTGCATTCCTCGATCCTGAAGAAGTTCCTGCAATCCTTAAGCAGCCCGTGGGGATCCGGATACATCCACTGCCGACATTGCTTGAAGTCCCGTTAACTTCGAGTGTTCACTAGACAACTGGGAACGAAGTTGTGCTTCAAATCTGTGGATAGACATGATTTCTCTTGGTTTGAGTATGAACTCGTTTTCAAGAGGGCAGGATTGTATATGCGGGCATTTCCTGCTTAATTCACCCAGGGCTGGCTTCCCCTAGACTATCTGGGTTGCCACCTACATGTACTGGACCGGACAGTGTGATTTCCTCCCAGGTTATACTGAAAGTGACACCGTAATAAATCATTGATAGAACTTCGAGACCCCATAGACCGACTCTATTTTGATTTATTTAGGTTTTTTTTCCCATTGTCAACGGCTTGGGTCGTGTTGCATTGCTTGAGTTGTGCACGGATTTTATTTAGCCTGAACTCACGCACGTGCATTGGAATTGATTCAGTTTTACTTCAAGGTTCTAGGTAGTATCGCCTCTTTTCCTACTAGGAGCCTACTCAAGAAGTAGTTAAAGATGGATAAAGTAAGTATATTCTCTCATATTCATCTTCCACCTCGCGATCTAGTATCTATGTGCTCGCCTGCATTCTCTAGTTCTGCTTTGCTTGCCACTCAAGCACCTTAGCCAGGAAGTTCTTGCTGAAAGCAGCGTCCACAAATTCTTCAATCTTGGTAATCTTGTCGCCAGTCTCGTTGAACTCCAAGAAGAATGCGTACTCATTCTTGTACTCAGCAACAGGAGATTCTCCAATTCCGGAGGCGTAAACCGCTGCGCAGTGGTTCTCGGGATCGTTGACAATCTTGTGGATGGTGGTCTGCCTCATGTAAGTAGACGAACATACTGCTTGAGTAAGTCCAAACTAACCTCAAAGCGGTGCATGACCTTCTGGAGAGGACCAAAGAATTCACGGTATTCTTCGTTGGTCTTAGAGGGACGGTTGAGCGAGGTTGGCAGGATGTAGTGAACGCAATTGTCGGCGCGAGAACGAAGGACTGCGTCAGCAGTGTACTCGTTGTAGCCTTGGAAGAGGTCTTTGGCGGTGCGAATCTGGTTTTCAGCGACGGAAGGCATTTTGAAGGTTTGGGTGAATTCGAATTGGGGTGTTCACTGATTTCTGTGGTTTCTGTGATTGAAAACCCTGAACCGCGATTCAAAATTATACTTATAGGCAAATCGAAGCAGGACTCGAAAAAGACCAGGCGTAGCCATCACCAATCTGACAAATGCACGCTAGTCCTTCATTCCCACATTCCCTTCGTATTACTTCTTGACAATCCTTCAATCCCACAATCCTATTTGATCCTGTACCCCCCTCCAGTCTGCCGGAACCCATATTTCCGAAATCGTATGGCAGGTTATGGTCTCCAGCGTTGATTTCCGACGAGATGAGGTAAATGGGGAAAAAAAAATAAAAATAAAAAAAAAATAAAAAAGAAGTACCATTCACCCAGAGGCTTTGTCATCGACTCGTATCAGCCCTCCGTAGATCTGCTCAATGCTCGAAGCCACCTGGGCACTATGTTTACGAACTACTTGGATTTGCACGACACAAAGGTTCTACTTAGTGTTGGCTTGTCCCATTTAAGCGAAAAAAAAACAATAAGTTGGGATATTTTACCATTGACTTTTTAATACAAGTAAATAAATCGGGTTCTAATTCTAAAATCTTTCTTCGCCTTGACACGTCCTTGTCCTCACCATTTGACATTGTTCACGAAGTCACGAACTTTGATCTTTTGCGAAGTGCACCACTATATTTCATGAACAAAAAAGGGACAGGCAAGGCCAGAAGAGATATTCCACCAAGTATACTCGATGCGGGTCCCACTCCCAATCCCAGAAACATGGGTCTCGCCGCCAATGGCAGCCCACAAGCCATTAAGCAACGAAGAAGATTGTTTGCTGCAACGGCACTTGCAGCATATTGACCATAAGTATCTATCAAGAAATTGAGGCATTGTTGGAAAACAATATTAAACCCGGCACCAATGAATCCTATTGTCATTGACGTTGGTAAGCTTTAAGAAAGGCACAATGCCGGAACATTTCAAGGGTCCATTCGACGTACCGGCGGCGACTGTAGGCGACTCCCATGGAATACTTGGGTCTGCGGTCCATCCAAACCAGAAGAGACCAGTCGAAAAGAGACAACCTCCAATTATCATTGGTGGTAAACGCGCCTCTGGAACCGCCTTGCCGTTGTTTCTTTCAACAGCACGGGCATAAAGCGGCTGATTGACAATATTGACCATCAGTGCGAAGATGACGCCAACCAGTAGACCCAAGAATGGAAGCGTGGAAATGACGAAGCTCCAATGGCGTTGCTCTTTAAAGACAATGGGGAAGACTTCGAGAGTCAAGAACAGCAGCCCGTAAACCAGAGAGGCATACAAGGCAATTGTGAACACCATTGGCTCTAAAAAGAACATTCTGCAAGTGGTCAGCTTCCATGGTCATCAAAAATTTCAATTTGCGAGGGGCTTTCTACTGCAAAGGACGATTTAATTGCTTTGTAACAATTGTTTTCAAATCCATCTTGGTTCCCTCGGATGCGTGCCAGTAGCTTGGATCGCCGGTTTTCTTTCGCGTCAACTGAGCTTTTCTTCGGAGAAGTACCGGGGCATATGTTTCAGGCAGAAAGATTACCGCAATCATCAAGACGGTAAAAGCGATAATGGCTTCCAGATACTCAGTCCCTAGTCCAATATTAGCCACGAGCCGTTGAACCTAGGGACAACATACATCGCCATCCAAGGTGAGGATCGACCGTTAGAACTGCACCGACAAGTGGTGCAATAGTTGGCCCTCCGATCACACAAAGTGCATAGAAGGCCATAGGTACTCCTCTCACGCATGGATCATAAATATCACCCAGCGCCGCAGACACATTGCTGATGGGCGCCGAGCCAAAAACACCCCCGATGAAGCGCGTAATGAACACACTAGCCGGGCCCTTGCTCACAGCGGTTCCGATACTTAAAATGCACAGCCCAAAAACAGCTGGAAGCATGGACCACCGTCGACCGTAAACCTCGCTTATCGGTGCCCAAATAAGCGGGCCAAATGCGTATCCTGAAAATGGAGATCAATCGCACGCATGGAGTGAGAAGGTCATGGAATATTCAAACCGAGAACAAAGAGTGACAAGCTCAATACTGTAACTTGTTCACTGATATTAAGATAGATCGCCAAATCCGCCTGTGCCGGTGACATGATAGATGAACCCAGAGAGCCGACGAAGGCGAGCATACTCATTTCCCATGTGATAAACGCCTTATAGAGGGGACTAAATGACTTCGGGTCTTCCCCTTCTCCGAATTGAATTCCATATTGGTTTCTCTCGCGTTCATCATGACCGAGTGAGTCTGGAAGATGGTTGGACTTTTCCAAGTCTGAAGTAGAAGGCATCTCGAGGGGATATTGATGTCAGTTTTTCGCCGGTCACCCGGAATTGTTTATGCCCACTACTAAATATTACCCCTGGTGGGTGTTTTCGCTCTTCTTGATCCTCTGTTCCTTTGATCCTGCATTCCAACCAATAGTGGGCCTAATTATGGGGCTTTCAAGGTACCCAATGGGGCTCAACGGGCCCACTGGCGGCCGACAGAATTGAAAAGTGTAAAAAAAAAAAAAAAACCCTATAACTGAACTGGTATCGTCGAGAAATTCTTAGTTTGAGTTAAGCTTTTGATCTTACGAGTATGGGATCGTTCATTGCTTTCGATCATCATTTAAATTCGGATAATTTGGAACTCCCGTCACCGAGAAGAAAAGGTTGACATTGTGTCTACACTAGAGGAACGGTTATAGTACATAGACTAGCTTCTGCCCAGAGACAACTCCATTCTCCAACTCCTTCAGACCAGCCAGAATGCCTTCGAATCCAGTATTTTCCACGCGAACAGGATGAACTTGAAGCTTTCCTGCCGCTAGTAAATCGTACGCAATCTTCCAAATCTTGTTCTGCCACAAGGCATGCGCCTCATTGTTACGAGTCCAATTGCCGCCCTTTTCGAAGTCTTCACCGATGCCGACATAGGCCATGGTGGCAGTGTATTTGACATCATCTCGAGGCAACTTCGGTGCGCGAATAGTGCCATACTGTGCCCCAGGGTTGGTTGTGAGTGCGTCCGCACAACCCCGGGCTGATTCATCGGTGCCAATACAATCCCAGGCGAATTGGAGTTGGTTCTTCGTGTGCTGGTTGATCTTCTTGCCGACTTCGGAATCATGGGAATCAAAGACCTCGCTAGCTCCGCGGGCGCGAACCATTTCAAAGTTCTTTGGTGAGCAAGTAGTAATGACGGAGTAACCCGCTCTGGTTTTTCCAGTTAGCTCTTCTTGGTTTTTGACTGACGAGGAAGTCTTACTCTTTAGCAAACTGTATGCCCAACGAACCCGTCGCAGAGCTTCCGCCATAGATCAAAACCGGTACCTTAGTAGTGACCGGGTTGGAAGGCGTATTAAGGCCGAGTCCGTAGCCTGACTCAAGGAGGCCTTGGCCCACGGTGGTAATTCCACACCCCAGGGTGGACGCTGCTTCGAAGGAAACTCCAGGTGGGATTTTGATAGCAGTAGACAATGGCGCGACGATGTACTCGGCGAAAGTTCCGTCTTCAGGGTTGCAAGAGTTTCCACCATGAGCGAAACCACAAATGCGATCGCCCTTCGCCCAACTGGGCGAATTGCTCTGTTCCACGACACCCGCGTAGTCGACACCGAGCACACAACCCTCCTTGGCCATTCCGAATGAAACATGCTTCCAATCAGTTGGATTGAGGGCGACGGCTACCACTTTGACAAGAACGGTGTTGTCGCGAATCTGTGGTAGAGGCCGGTCGGTTACCAAGCGGGTCTGCTTAGGTTCGGTGAAGATGATAGCCTTCATGTTGTGAAGCAAATGATTCAAAGTTTATTTTATTTTATTTTATTTTTTTTTTTTTGAAAAGTCTTTCGCAAATTAATTCACCAGAGGATGGATAGTAAAGCGATCTAAATAACGAAAGAATTATTGCGCAACGAAGATCATGTTTTGAAATCCATCGCGGATCCTGCAATCCTCCCATCCTTTATTCCTGGTAACTAACTAGTTAGTTAAGCCTGCTTCTGACAAATCTAAGTATCTGCCATGAATGACGATTTAAAATGTGCAGAGTATATTTATATTTGCAACAATTTTGCTTCATTCGCCTTTTTATTTTTATTTTATTTATTTATTTATTTATTTTTTTTTTTGAAGTATTTGCTCGCACAACATATCAAGAACCATGTCAGTCCCGGAGTATGACGGTCGGTATTGCTTGAAGCCCGATGTAGGGTTCGACGCAACCAAGCTTGCTGGCAGAAGCATTGTGATCACCGGAGGATCCAGCGGTATTGGAAAAGAGATGGTTAAGGCTTTCACGGCTGCCGGTGCATTTGTAACTATAGGTGATATGCAGGAGAGCGGCCAACAGCTGGCCGAAGAACTTGGCGGCCGAGCGACTTTCGTCAAGACAGACGTGACGAACTGGAATGACCTAGTAAAGCTGTTTGAAACAGCCATTGCTCAGTCGCCATCGCATTTGATTGACGCCGTCATTGCGAACGCTGGAATCTCGGGAAGAGATTCCCTTTACTGGGACGGTAAGTATCCTCATCCAATATTCCCAGACATTGATCTTTTAGTGTTCTTACCTATTCCTTTCAGACAGCGCAAGGGATGAGGATCCTATTGAACCATCTCTCAAGGTGCTTCAGACGAATCTTATTGGTTGTATTTACACCTCCAAGCTGGCTTTGCATCATTTCACCCGCCAGCCGAATGATGGGAAACATGATCGTTGCCTGATTCTCATGAGTAGTATTGCTGGGTATTGTGATCAACCCGGAACACCAATTTACTGTGCATCTAAGCATGGCATTCGCGGTGTAATGACAAGCCTTCGTCGGACGGCGCACAAGCAGAATGTGCGCGTAAACCTGCTTGCTCCCTGGTGAGAGAATCCCGATCTGAATCAAACCATGACAGAACCATGTGTCTGATACGCTCACAGGTACGTCCGCACGCCGGCTATACCGATGGGGAATCAAGACCGCCTCACCGACAAGGGGGTGATTTGGGCAGAGGCCGAGGACGGGGCGACGGCTTCTTTGCACATTGCTTCCGATCCCCTGTTGAATGGTGAGATTTCTACATATTATGAGCTTGAATCGTTAGATCTGACTGCAAAACAGGTCGGTGCGTTACTATCGTGCCGCGAAATGAGGATCCTCGAGGGTACATGGATATGGGGAAGGATGACTTTGCCGAGGGCGATCCTGCATACGATTGGCAAAGGACCATGATGGCAGCAAGCCATAGAGCATAGATAAATTAAATAGCACGCTCATTAAATGACAAAGTCAGTCAGCTCAGCCCAATTTCAAGTTCAAATGATATGTTTCAATGTTCGACGAAGGTCATTTCTCACATCTTGCTGCAAGTTATGTGTCAGGATCCCTGGGATGAGCACTAAGAAACAGATCTGGAGAAACGGAGGTGATTGGAAGAGAGGAACTATCTGAGAGCAACATCTAAGACTAAAACTAGTCAGTCAGTGGGGATCTACAATATTAACTAACGTAATTCACAAGCGAGTGGGCCGTCTAATGCGAAACGCGTCAGTTTTATGCACCCTTCCTTCTTCAACCACCCACCATGCCACCAATTTGCTCTCGAAGCTCCCAAAATTCAATAGAGCAGGAGGGTAGGATCTTATTAGCTATCCAGGTTATTAAGAATCAAGAAATTAGCTCTATTCGCAAAGCAGCACACCACTTCCAAGTGCCTCGCTCTACCTTACAACGCCGCCTTACCGGTGATGTCTTTCGCCCTGAATCACGCGCCAATAACCATGAATTGTCTCAAAAGGAAGAGGAATTGCTCGTACAATGGATACTCTCAATGGATTCCTGTGGAGCAGCGCCTCGGCCTACTGCTGTATGAGAAATGGCTAATCTATTACTTGCAGCGCGTGGATCTACCCCAGTTCAAACAGTCGGCAAGAATTGGGTTACAAACTTCATGAAAAGGCAATCCAAGCTTTCAACCCGATTCTCAAGGCGCTATAATTACGAGCGTGCAAAGTGTGAAGACCCAAAAATCATCCAAGAGTGGTTTAATTGTGTGCAACGTACAATACTTCAATATGGCATTGACCCAGATGATATCTACAACTTTGATGAAACTGGCTTTATAATGGGCTTAACTGCAACTGCAAAAGTGATTACAAGGTCTGAATACTATGGTCAGCGATCCCTTTTACAGCCTGGAAATTGTGAATGGGTCACTGCAATTGAGGCAATAAGCACATCAGGGTGAGCCTTGCCTCCATGCATTATTTTCAAAGGCAAGGTCTTTATTGAGAGTTGGTTTGACAATGTCCCAGGTGACTGACTCTTTGAAGTTAGCCCAAATGGATGGACTTCTGATGAAATTGGGCTTTGTTAAACTGGTCGTCCACCCGGCGGGGGTAAACTATGGTAGAAGCGTGATAGAGTGTATATGGAGGTAGTATATGTATGTAACAACTTCGGTAGTAATAGCCAGTCCCATTGGTGATTAGACTGAATGCTGGTCTCTCTAACGTTCGCCCAGCGGTCTCCCTAAGGAATGTCGGGGTCACGTGCCCGCTCCGGGCGGTCCTGTACCTAAACGGGTTACGACCGCACTATTACTACTTCGGCCTAGTGCCAGTAGACCTTCGGTGCTTGTCTAATATACATGCGTTGCGCCCTATGTCCGTAACAGGCTTCAGTGGCTCCAAAAGCTCTTTATTCCATCAACAAT